CGCTGATTTGTATCATCCACACCTTCAACTTCAACCTTCGTGTGTACTCCTCTATTGGCAGTGCCAGAAATAGACTGGTTGGGTAGATGAGTCAATGGGACAAATGATATATGTTTGTATACAATAAGAAAATTTTTTGTTTCATGTCCAATTTATAGAGAGAGAGAGAGAGAGAGAGAGAGAGAGAGAGAGAGAGAGAGAGAGAGAGGAGGATGTGACATTGTAAAGGATGATGGATTAGACTCTTCCCAACTAATAATTATATGCTTCACTCCACTACCATTTCTTAATTACTAACCCATTGACACATTACAATGAACTCTTATCTTTACGGGGGAGTGCCTACGTGACATGAACCCATGCGTACGACTCGCTTTTTGGACACATGAAAAGGGACGTATAATGAAGAATTTTTATACGCGGTCATGCTTATTCTTGATCGATGTGGGACACTTAGGATCGTAACACTATGGATATATATTCATTTAGGGATTAGAAAGAACTGAAAGTATATCAGAAGGACTAAAAAGATATGTTTCCTTTAGGGTTTAGAGGACAGAAAAGTAGTGTAAATTATTATAGTGCTTCTGTACTTTTCATGCCGGAAGCATGCACATTCTTACCATGGGAGCAATTTGAATGACTGCAAGTGTGTGTGACAGAGAGAGCCACACACACAAAACGGCATATAAAAGGGTCACATTATTTTTTTTATTTAGTGCTTTTGGCTAGGAGGGGAGAAATTAATTACAATAGTCGTTAAAATACGTTTTTTCTTTAAATTTTCTCCTTTGTAGATCATTCACTTTTAATGAATGAATGATTCATTTATATACATTAATCTTATGTAAAATAACCCGATGGTTATTGGCGATCACTCAAAGTCGAAAGACACGTTGATTCGCATCATCCACCGTCAATTTTAACCTTCGTTTGTACTGTTCCATTGATCGTACCAAACATAACATACAATTGGAAGGTAGAGGAGTTATTCGAAAAAAAATTATAATTTTGTATACAATAAGAAAAAAAAAATTGTTTGATGTTGAGTTGAGAGAGAGAGAGAGAGAGAGAGAGAGAGAGAGAGAGAGAGAGAGAGATTGTCCGAGTGCCAATTAGACTATTAACATTTAAGACAAGGATGTGACACAATGAAGGTATATCTTGGATGATGGGTTAGATTGTTCCCCACCATCATATACTCCACTAACATTTCTTAGCAGCTCATTGGCATATTACATTGAAATCTTATCTTTTTGTGTGTTTGTGTGAGAGAGACCCAAAACGGTATTTAAAATTAAGAGTGATACTTTTTAATACGACAAGAAAATATAATTTTGAAATCGACACTAAATTAATAGATTTGGATTGATCATTTCTTAACACGAATTTGTACATGACAAGATCAGTTAACACAAATAATAAATAAATTGGGTTAGCGTCAGACAAGAGCAACATAATGTTGACAAGATTAACTCTTTTAACTAGTATTATAGGATTAAAATGACAATTTTTTTTCAAGTATTTAAATAATTCTTGTACAAAAAAAAAAGATATTTTTACTTATTTTTATTATTATGTCTATTAACTTCATTTTTTGTTTATGGAAAAAGCATAATCATGTGTTCGATTAAGTAATACTAAAATCTTAAACTTAAATTTTTGTGTTAAATTTTTTATTTACGGGTTAAATAAGTCAGCACGATACAAAAATAAATAAGTTAGGTTGACATGACTCGATTAATTAAATAAATTAAGTTAAGATTAACTAGTGCTCTACACAAATCTGTAAATGACACGACGTAATTGGTCATGCCTGTATAAAATGGATAAATTATTTGTTTATTTAACGCTTTTGGCTAAGCGGAAAAAAATTTCTTACGATAATCGCTCTAATATATTTTTTCTTAAATTTTCTTGTTAGAATTGGATTGAATCTCCCTCCGTCTCGAAGAATGCATGCTTTTATGTGGCCGGAGTGATGCGGCGATGGAAGTGGAACCAACCGGGAGGATTTATGTGCAACGCGTTCAGTATGAATTTACTCTGTACACCATGTGAAAAATGTCAACAAGGCAGTGTTAAAAAGTTCCTTGCCTGGGGCCCCTGAAAATCAGTTATTGTTGCACTATTTGCTTTTCAGTATTAAAGAATGACACAGCAACTGCAAGTGGTTCAGGGCGGCGTGTCTACGCGTGTCGTGGCGTGTCGTACTTTTATGTTCTCTTTAGTAAGTCTCATGTTGTTGTGCTTGTCTTATTATTATTATTATTATTATTATTATTATTATTATTATTATTATTATTATTATTCGTTCTAATAAAAAATTATTTAATTTTTAAAAAATTAAATAATAATTATTTTCTGTTTACATTATGCATTAAATACTTATTTTTTATCTACAATACTCATTAATCATATTATTCGTGCTATTACTTCAAATTCCGTTGTATCGATGGATGAAACTTAATCAACAGATAATTTTTAAACTATTATCTGCAAAGAGTTTAAATGTCTTATTGTAGGAAGATTTTTTTATTAATTCAATGGAAAAGACCTCAGTTATAAAAAAGATTGGATTAATAACCTTAATTGTAACAATAATTACTTCCTAAAACTAATTTAATATTATTCCTAAAATGCTCAAATCACAGGTCTTGTGTGGGAGTTTGAATGTATTTCAGCTTCTCTACTAAATGTTTTTTTATAATCATTGTCTTCTACGGTTTAACCCTCATCGATGGTTATTAAATAATAACCTCTACTTAGTTACTTCTTTTTCAAAAATATGGTTGTAGTTGATCATCTCATATCTTTCTTTAAATTCTGTCAAATGACATCTTCTTCTTAATACATTCAGATTTATTAGATATTAATAAATCGAATATTTTTATAATTTTATATTTGAAGTACAAACACGTGTTTAACTTTAATTTAATCTATCTATTTTATGTGTCAATTAATCGGATCGTTTTTAGATTATGTGTCAAGTTGAATTTGTGTTAGGGTTTGATTTTGTGATTAAAATTTACATCTCCAGTGTGTCTCTGTGTGTGTGTGTGTATATGAGAGAGAGAGAGAGAGAGAGAGAAAACGAGGTAAACAATGGACAGCTGATTGGTTTATTAAATGCTTTTTCACTAAGCAGCAGAGAGACTACAGAAAATTCCTTATATGATGATGTGTACTCGTGGTGCATGCTTTAATATGGCCGGTGAGAGTGTGATGGGCCAATGAGATATTTTTTGTCCCAACGCGCTGTTGTGGACTACACATACCACCATGTGAAAAATGGCTAGTAGTACTTTTTAAGCAGGTTTACTTGTACAAATAAAAAGTGTTGTTGAAAGCAGAGTGCGAGGGGGGACAGACCTTGCTTCCCACTAATACAAACTGTGTCTGTGCTTCCAAGCATTTTATAATAATAGAGTGTTCCTTTAGAACAAGGTAACCCAGAGCCTAGGAGTTGTCTTTCTCAAACACGGTGTAGCACAAAAAACGTTTCGGTTCGCGATTGGGTTGGTCCAATGAAATCCCATGGTAGTAACTAGTTCTTTCTGAGAGATTAAGATACATTTGTCGTTGACACAAGGAAGTCGTAACGTGCCTGAGTGCTTTGCTCCGTTTTTTGGATTATTGGGTATCGTGGATCCTCTATTTTAAGTAAATGATTTCACTGCACCTACACCTACCCTTTATATATACATTCAACTTTTCTCATTTTTTCAATGCCACCCGGGATAAGTCCCAATACTAATAGCACCGGGGTTTTTCAAAATACCCGCCCGAAATCGCAAAAATCAAACGTAGTGCATTGTAATATGAAACCGTTTGTATAGTGAGAGGGTTTTATTTGGCTGGTCCTGGTCTTTGCCGAAATGGTTTATTAGCTAACTGCACACAACAAACCCCTTGACGGAAACACCCAGTACTATGACTTGAATTCCTCCTATTTTACTTTTAAACTTGAGCCACCGTATTCAAAATTCAGCCTTTTACTTTATCAACTCCCGGGGAGAGGGAGGAAGAGGGTGCACCTCATCCGAAGACCAAATGGCCTGAGCTTTTGACAGAAAAATAGCATGGAAACGACCTAAGAAAATATTTTGCCACTCCTAATCATACGTCTTTTAAAAATCGTCACATAATATATGTTTAACGATTTCTAGTTAAAACGTATGGAGCTCTTGCTACCGATAAAAAAAAAAGATAGTATGTTTGATTTATTTTTATTGTTGACTAATTAAAATATTATGTTAATATTATATCATCGACAAATGATCGGGGGTATTANTTAACGATTTCTAGTTAAAACGTATGGAGCTCTTGCTACCGATAAAAAAAAAAGATAATATGTTTGATTTATTTTTATTGTTGACTAATTAAAATATTATGTTAATATTATATCATCGACAAATGATCGGGGGTATTAAGAGAACGACAATAGTTATAACGTTATAGCTGATGAATGTTTAATGTTGTTTTCATATGATAAGAATTATAGTTATGAATATAAAAATGTTTCCTCCCATTAAAATTGTCAACAATCTCGCAAAGCGTTTCATCTTTTTTGAAAAGTCCAGAAGAAAATTGTATTTTTGTCAACCATTCATTCCTTTGTGCTGAAGAAAGGGCACACCTGACATTTGATATTTGAATTGAATAGAAGAGTGAGGGGCATAACGGTCAAATAGATTGCGCGAGCAGACGTTTCGGGCAAACATTCAAAAGGCTAAAGGGGGAATAGAACAGGTCAATTTCTTGACTGTTACGAAAAAAACCCTTACGTAATCCCTTTATTTTCATTACTGCCACTGGGCATGGGCGGTAAAATGGCTCAAACCGTTGTTTGGAAGAAATCCAGGGGCATTTAGGGAATACTGGTTCTATATATCTCTCAACTCCATCCATTCAATCTTACTTTGTTTCGGCTGCTAGCTGTGTTTGTTGGTTCCCCCCTCTCTCTCTCTCTCTCTCTCTCTCTGTGTCTGACTGAAACCATGCAGATTGGCTCCACAATTCCGGCAAATAATTCTAGTCTCCTTCAGGCCAGACATGCCAACTTCAAGTGTAATGGCTCACCATTAAAGCCTTCAACAATAGCTTGTATGAATGTGAAACCAGTTATATCCACCAAGCTTACTCGAAAGCACCTATCAAACCTTGACAAACTACTACAAAAGCAAACTCAACCAAACCCTCCTAACCCAGAGCCAGTTCAAAAAGAATCCAATACTGGGTCACCTGAGAACAAAGGAAAGGGTCCCTTTGAAGGGCTTAACCTGGCCGGAATATGGCCGGAAATGAAGGCTGCAGAGGAAATGTCGCCGAGGAATCTGAACCGGCTAAAACGGCTTCTTTCAATGTCACCGGAACATTCCCCGAGGAATATTCTTGGTAGCCGGTGGCAAGAATATCACGGCAGGAATGATTGGTCCGGCCTACTGGACCCACTTGATGAGAATCTCCGGCGAGAGCTGGTCCGGTATGGTGAGTTCATTCAGGCAGCATACCATAGTTTTCACTCTAATCCGGCCATGTCGGCAGAGGAAGTTCTGTTCCCCCGCCACGTGGCATTGCCAGATAGGTCATATAGGGTGACAAAGAATCTTTATGCCACGTCATCAATTGGTTTGCCAAAATGGGTGGATGATGTAGCACCAGATCTCGGGTGGATGACCCAACGGTCGAGCTGGATCGGATACGTGGCAGTTTGTGAGAATGAGAGAGAGATACAAAGAATGGGCCGAAGAGATATTGTCATTGCACTGCGTGGTACTGCCACGTGTCTTGAATGGGCCGAAAATATGAGAGACCTACTTGTACAAGTCCCTGGCCAAAATGATCAGGCCCATGGACAACCCAAGGTGGAATGTGGGTTCTTGAGCCTATACAAGACACGTGGAGATCACGTGCCAAGCCTAGCAGAGTCGGTGGTTGAAGAAGTGCACCGATTAATGGAACTATACAAAGGTGAAACTCTAAGCATAACAGTGACCGGACATAGCCTAGGTGCGGCCTTGGCCTTATTGGTAGCAGATGAACTCAGTACATGTGCCCCCACGGTACCACCGGTGGCGGTTTTCTCCTTCGGTGGGCCTCGTGTTGGCAACCGAGGCTTTGCCAACCGTCTTAACGCAAANATTATTATTATTATTATTATTATTATTATTATTATTATTATTAGTCGTTCTAATAAAAAATTATTTAATTTTTAAAAAATTAAATAATAATTATTTCCTGTTTACATTATGCATTAAATACTTATTTTTTATCTACAATACTCATTAATCATATTATTCGTGCTATTACTTCAAATTCCGTTGTTATCGATGGATGAAACTTAATCAACAGATAAATTTTAAACTATTATCTGCAAAGGGTTTAAATGTCTTATTGTAGGAAGATTTTTTTATTAATTCAATGGAAAAGACCTCAGTTATAAAAAAGATTGGATTAATAACCTTAATTGTAACAATAATTACTTTCTAAAACTAATTTAACATTATTCCTAAAATGCTCAAATCATAGATCTTGTGTGAGAGTTTGAATGTATTTCATCTTCTCTACTAAATGTTCTTTTATAATCATTGTCTTCTACGGTTTAACCCCCATCGATGGTTATTAAATAGTAACCTCTACTTAGTTACTTCTTTTTCAAAAATATGGTTGTAGTTGATCATCTCATATCTTTCTTTAAATTCTGTCAAATGACATCTTCTTCTTAATACATTCAGATTTATTAGATATTAATAAATCGAATATTTTTATAATTTTATATTTGAAGTACAAACACGTGTTTAACTTTAATTTAATCTATCTATTTTATGTGTCAATTAATCGGATCGTTTTTAGATTATGTGTCAAGTTGAATTTGTGTTAGGGTTTGATTTTGTGATTAAAATTTACATCTCCAGTGTGTCTCTGTGTGTGTGTGTGTATATGAGAGAGAGAGAGAGAGAGAGAGAAAACGAGGTAAACAATGGACAGCTGATTGGTTTATTAAATGCTTTTTCACTAAGCAGCNATAACCTCTACTTAGTTACTTCTTTTTCAAAAATATGGTTGTAGTTGATCATCTCATGTCTTTCTTTAAATTCTGTCAAATGACATCTTCTTCTTAATACATTTGGATTTATTAGATATTAATATATCGAATATTTTTATAATTTTATATTTGAAGTACAAACACGTGTTTAACTTTAATTTAATCTATCTATTTTATGTGTCAATTAATCGGATCGTTTTTAGATTATGTGTCAAGTTGAATTTGTGTTAGGGTTTGATTTTGTGATTAAAATTTACATCTCCAGTGTGTCTCTGTGTGTGTGTGTGTATATGAGAGAGAGAGAGAGAGAGAGAGAAAACGAGGTAAACAATGGACAGCTGATTGGTTTATTAAATGCTTTTTCACTAAGCAGCAGAGAGACTACAGAAAATTCCTTATATGATGATGTGTACTCGTGGTGCATGCTTTAATATGGCCGGTGAGAGTGTGATGGGCCAATGAGATATTTTTTGTCCCAACGCGCTGTTGTGGACTACACATACCACCATGTGAAAAATGGCTAGTAGTACTTTTTAAGCAGGTTTACTTGTACAAATAAAAAGTGTTGTTGAAAGCAGAGTGCGAGGGGGGACAGACCTTGCTTCCCACTAATACAAACTGTGTCTGTGCTTCCAAGCATTTTATAATAATAGAGTGTTCCTTTAGAACAAGGTAACCCAGAGCCTAGGAGTTGTCTTTCTCAAACACGGTGTAGCACAAAAAACGTTTCGGTTCGCGATTGGGTTGGTCCAATGAAATCCCATGGTAGTAACTAGTTCTTTCTGAGAGATTAAGATACATTTGTCGTTGACACAAGGAAGTCGTAACGTGCCTGAGTGCTTTGCTCCGTTTTTTGGATTATTGGGTATCGTGGATCCTCTATTTTAAGTAAATGATTTCACTGCACCTACACCTACCCTTTATATATACATTCAACTTTTCTCATTTTTTCAATGCCACCCGGGATAAGTCCCAATACTAATAGCACCGGGGTTTTTCAAAATACCCGCCCGAAATCGCAAAAATCAAACGTAGTGCATTGTAATATGAAACCGTTTGTATAGTGAGAGGGTTTTATTTGGCTGGTCCTGGTCTTTGCCGAAATGGTTTATTAGCTAACTGCACACAACAAACCCCTTGACGGAAACACCCAGTACTATGACTTGAATTCCTCCTATTTTACTTTTAAACTTGAGCCACCGTATTCAAAATTCAGCCTTTTACTTTATCAACTCCCGGGGAGAGGGAGGAAGAGGGTGCACCTCATCCGAAGACCAAATGGCCTGAGCTTTTGACAGAAAAATAGCATGGAAACGACCTAAGAAAACATTTTGCCACTCCTAATCATACGTCTTTTAAAAATCGTCACATAATATATGTTTAACGATTTCTAGTTAAAACGTATGGAGCTCTTGCTACCGATAAAAAAAAAAGATAGTATGTTTGATTTATTTTTATTGTTGACTAATTAAAATATTATGTTAATATTATATCATCGACAAATGATCGGGGGTATTAAGAGAACGACAATAGTTATAACGTTATAGCTGATGAATGTTTAATGTTGTTTTCATATGATAAGAATTATAGTTATGAATATAAAAATGTTTCCTCCCATTAAAATTGTCAACAATCTCGCAAAGCGTTTCATCTTTTTTGAAAAGTCCAGAAGAAAATTGTATTTTTGTCAACCATTCATTCCTTTGTGCTGAAGAAAGGGCACACCTGACATTTGATATTTGAATTGAATAGAAGAGTGAGGGGCATAACGGTCAAATAGATTGCGCGAGCAGACGTTTCGGGCAAACATTCAAAAGGCTAAAGGGGGAATAGAACAGGTCAATTTCTTGACTGTTACGAAAAAAACCCTTACGTAATCCCTTTATTTTCATTACTGCCACTGGGCATGGGCAGTAAAATGGCTCAAACCGTTGTTTGGAAGAAATTCAGGGGCATTTAGGGAATACTGGTTCTATATATCTCTCAACTCCATCCATTCAATCTTACTTTGTTTCGGCTGCTAGCTGTGTTTGTTGGTTCCCCCCTCTCTCTCTCTCTCTCTCTCTCTCTGTGTCTGACTGAAACCATGCAGATTGGCTCCACAATTCCGGCAAATAATTCTAGTCTCCTTCAGGCCAGACATGCCAACTTCAAGTGTAATGGCTCACCATTAAAGCCTTCAACAATAGCTTGTATGAATGTGAAACCAGTTATATCCACCAAGCTTACTCGAAAGCACCTATCAAACCTTGACAAACTACTACAAAAGCAAACTCAACCAAACCCTCCTGACCCAGAGCCAGTTCAAAAAGAATCCAATACTGGGTCACCTGAGAACAAAGGAAAGGGTCCCTTTGAAGGGCTTAACCTGGCCGGAATATGGCCGGAAATGAAGGCTGCAGAGGAAATGTCGCCGAGGAATCTGAACCGGCTAAAACGGCTTCTTTCAATGTCACCGGAACATTCCCCGAGGAATATTCTTGGTAGCCGGTGGCAAGAATATCACGGCAGGAATGATTGGTCCGGCCTACTGGACCCACTTGATGAGAATCTCCGGCGAGAGCTGGTCCGGTATGGTGAGTTCATTCAGGCAGCATACCATAGTTTTCACTCTAATCCGGCCATGTCGGCAGAGGAAGTTCTGTTCCCCCGCCACGTGGCATTGCCAGATAGGTCATATAGGGTGACAAAGAATCTTTATGCCACGTCATCAATTGGTTTGCCAAAATGGGTGGATGATGTAGCACCAGATCTCGGGTGGATGACCCAACGGTCGAGCTGGATCGGATACGTGGCAGTTTGTGAGAATGAGAGAGAGATACAAAGAATGGGCCGAAGAGATATTGTCATTGCACTGCGTGGTACTGCCACGTGTCTTGAATGGGCCGAAAATATGAGAGACCTACTTGTACAAGTCCCTGGCCAAAATGATCAGGCCCATGGACAACCCAAGGTGGAATGTGGGTTCTTGAGCCTATACAAGACACGTGGAGATCACGTGCCAAGCCTAGCAGAGTCGGTGGTTGAAGAAGTGCACCGATTAATGGAACTATACAAAGGTGAAACTCTAAGCATAACAGTGACCGGACATAGCCTAGGTGCGGCCTTGGCCTTATTGGTAGCAGATGAACTCAGTACATGTGCCCCCACGGTACCACCGGTGGCGGTTTTCTCCTTCGGTGGGCCTCGTGTTGGCAACCGAGGCTTTGCCAACCGTCTTAACGCAAATAATGTCAAGGTGTTACGTATAGTGAACTCTCAAGACGTGATCACTAAGGTTCCGGGAATGTTTGTGAGCGAAGGGCTTGACAAGAAACTCCGGGAATCAGGTGCCACAGATGTGCTTAATGTGCTTGACAACAACATGCCATGGGCATACTCGCACGTTGGAACCGAATTGAGAGTCGATACAAAGATGTCACCTTATCTAAAGCCAAATGCAGATGTAGCATGTTGCCATGACTTGGAGGCTTACCTACACTTGGTGGATGGGTTTTTGGCATCCAATTGTCCATTTAGGGCAAATGCCAAGAGAAGTCTAGTGAGGTTACTAAATGAACAAAAGTCTAACGTTAAGAAATTGTATACAAGTAAAGCAAAAGGCTTAAGCTTGAACCTTGAAAGAGATAGTGATCTCCTAACGTCTATATCTACTTGTTTGCCTAGTCCATCGTAAAACTAAAAAAAAAAGTCAAATGTGTATAGCATTACTCCGATACATGTAAAGATATTGTTGTCAGTAATTGAAATCCCTAACACCCAAATCACAAGGAAAAATTTTATGTCCTGTGCATGAGGTGGAATTTTGAAGCACATTTATTAGTGTTTCTGCATGGTTGTCTTTTAGCTGGATATCTGCTTTATTCTTCGTTTTGCGGTCCCATTTTTTGCCTCTTTCATTATCTCAAGTGTCGAAGAGGTTTGTGTGTCAACTTGACAAAACTGAAGGAGTTGGTGTGATTTTTACTCTACAATCTTTTTTTTTTTTTTATCAATGTGAGATGGTTGATGCTGTCACCGCCATTGTAGAGTACATTGAAATCTGACATGGGCCTATACAAAATGACAAGGGTCAGGTTTCACAGAATCTAAAACTAAAACATGATCGTGAATCTCTGTAAACATTTTTCTTTTTAAATTTTTTGTAATATTATATTATCNTTTATCTACAATACTCATTAATCATATTATTCGTGCTATTACTTCAAATTCCGTTGTATCGATGGATGAAACTTAATCAACAGATAATTTTTAAACTATTATCTGCAAAGANGTGAATCTCTGTAAACATTTTTCTTTTTAAATTTTTTGTAATATTATATTATCCATCATATATTGAAAAAGAATGTATTACTATAAAATTAACCCGACTTGAATTTATGAATTTATAATAAGTAATTTCCGACTAAAAATATTGTGATTATGCAAAAAATTATTTCTGTAAATATGTGCCTGAGGAACAGTTTCGCAATAAAGAGCCTTGCATAAGGGCTCTACTGGAGGAGTTGTAGATCTAGAGAATGGAGAGGAAAAACTCTGAACTATGCTTGACCTAGTACCCAGCGCTACCTACCACGGTCCATAATAAACCTNAGACCTCAGTTATAAAAAAGATTGGATTAATAACCTTAATTGTAACAATAATTACTTCCTAAAACTAATTTAATATTATTCCTAAAATGCTCAAATCACAGGTCTTGTGTGGGAGTTTGAATGTATTTCAGCTTCTCTACTAAATGTTTTTTTATAATCATTGTCTTCTACGGTTTAACCCTCATCGATGGTTATTAAATAATAACCTCTACTTAGTTACTTCTTTTTCAAAAATATGGTTGTAGTTGATCATCTCATGTCTTTCTTTAAATTCTGTCAAATGACATCTTCTTCTTAATACATTTGGATTTATTAGATATTAATATATCGAATATTTTTATAATTTTATATTTGAAGTACAAACACGTGTTTAACTTTAATTTAATCTATCTATTTTATGTGTCAATTAATCGGATCGTTTTTAGATTATGTGTCAAGTTGAATTTGTGTTAGGGTTTGATTTTGTGATTAAAATTTACATCTCCAGTGTGTCTCTGTGTGTGTGTGTGTATATGAGAGAGAGAGAGAGAGAGAGAGAAAACGAGGTAAACAATGGACAGCTGATTGGTTTATTAAATGCTTTTTCACTAAGCAGCAGAGAGACTACAGAAAATTCCTTATATGATGATGTGTACTCGTGGTGCATGCTTTAATATGGCCGGTGAGAGTGTGATGGGCCAATGAGATATTTTTTGTCCCAACGCGCTGTTGTGGACTACACATACCACCATGTGAAAAATGGCTAGTAGTACTTTTTAAGCAGGTTTACTTGTACAAATAAAAAGTGTTGTTGAAAGCAGAGTGCGAGGGGGGACAGACCTTGCTTCCCACTAATACAAACTGTGTCTGTGCTTCCAAGCATTTTATAATAATAGAGTGTTCCTTTAGAACAAGGTAACCCAGAGCCTAGGAGTTGTCTTTCTCAAACACGGTGTAGCACAAAAAACGTTTCGGTTCGCGATTGGGTTGGTCCAATGAAATCCCATGGTAGTAACTAGTTCTTTCTGAGAGATTAAGATACATTTGTCGTTGACACAAGGAAGTCGTAACGTGCCTGAGTGCTTTGCTCCGTTTTTTGGATTATTGGGTATCGTGGATCCTCTATTTTAAGTAAATGATTTCACTGCACCTACACCTACCCTTTATATATACATTCAACTTTTCTCATTTTTTCAATGCCACCCGGGATAAGTCCCAATACTAATAGCACCGGGGTTTTTCAAAATACCCGCCCGAAATCGCAAAAATCAAACGTAGTGCATTGTAATATGAAACCGTTTGTATAGTGAGAGGGTTTTATTTGGCTGGTCCTGGTCTTTGCCGAAATGGTTTATTAGCTAACTGCACACAACAAACCCCTTGACGGAAACACCCAGTACTATGACTTGAATTCCTCCTATTTTACTTTTAAACTTGAGCCACCGTATTCAAAATTCAGCCTTTTACTTTATCAACTCCCGGGGAGAGGGAGGAAGAGGGTGCACCTCATCCGAAGACCAAATGGCCTGAGCTTTTGACAGAAAAATAGCATGGAAACGACCTAAGAAAACATTTTGCCACTCCTAATCATACGTCTTTTAAAAATCGTCACATAATATATGTTTAACGATTTCTAGTTAAAACGTATGGAGCTCTTGCTACCGATAAAAAAAAAAGATAGTATGTTTGATTTATTTTTATTGTTGACTAATTAAAATATTATGTTAATATTATATCATCGACAAATGATCGGGGGTATTAAGAGAACGACAATAGTTATAACGTTATAGCTGATGAATGTTTAATGTTGTTTTCATATGATAAGAATTATAGTTATGAATATAAAAATGTTTCCTCCCATTAAAATTGTCAACAATCTCGCAAAGCGTTTCATCTTTTTTGAAAAGTCCAGAAGAAAATTGTATTTTTGTCAACCATTCATTCCTTTGTGCTGAAGAAAGGGCACACCTGACATTTGATATTTGAATTGAATAGAAGAGTGAGGGGCATAACGGTCAAATAGATTGCGCGAGCAGACGTTTCGGGCAAACATTCAAAAGGCTAAAGGGGGAATAGAACAGGTCAATTTCTTGACTGTTACGAAAAAAACCCTTACGTAATCCCTTTATTTTCATTACTGCCACTGGGCATGGGCAGTAAAATGGCTCAAACCGTTGTTTGGAAGAAATTCAGGGGCATTTAGGGAATACTGGTTCTATATATCTCTCAACTCCATCCATTCAATCTTACTTTGTTTCGGCTGCTAGCTGTGTTTGTTGGTTCCCCCCTCTCTCTCTCTCTCTCTCTCTCTCTGTGTCTGACTGAAACCATGCAGATTGGCTCCACAATTCCGGCAAATAATTCTAGTCTCCTTCAGGCCAGACATGCCAACTTCAAGTGTAATGGCTCACCATTAAAGCCTTCAACAATAGCTTGTATGAATGTGAAACCAGTTATATCCACCAAGCTTACTCGAAAGCACCTATCAAACCTTGACAAACTACTACAAAAGCAAACTCAACCAAACCCTCCTGACCCAGAGCCAGTTCAAAAAGAATCCAATACTGGGTCACCTGAGAACAAAGGAAAGGGTCCCTTTGAAGGGCTTAACCTGGCCGGAATATGGCCGGAAATGAAGGCTGCAGAGGAAATGTCGCCGAGGAATCTGAACCGGCTAAAACGGCTTCTTTCAATGTCACCGGAACATTCCCCGAGGAATATTCTTGGTAGCCGGTGGCAAGAATATCACGGCAGGAATGATTGGTCCGGCCTACTGGACCCACTTGATGAGAATCTCCGGCGAGAGCTGGTCCGGTATGGTGAGTTCATTCAGGCGGCATACCATAGTTTTCACTCTAATCCGGCCATGTCGGCAGAGGAAGTTCTGTTCCCCCGCCACGTGGCATTGCCAGATAGGTCATATAGGGTGACAAAGAATCTTTATGCCACGTCATCAATTGGTTTGCCAAAATGGGTGGATGATGTAGCACCAGATCTCGGGTGGATGACCCAACGGTCGAGCTGGATCGGATACGTGGCAGTTTGTGAGAATGAGAGAGAGATACAAAGAATGGGCCGAAGAGATATTGTCATTGCACTGCGTGGTACTGCCACGTGTCTTGAATGGGCCGAAAATATGAGAGACCTACTTGTACAAGTCCCTGGCCAAAATGATCAGGCCCATGGACAACCCAAGGTGGAATGTGGGTTCTTGAGCCTATACAAGACACGTGGAGATCACGTGCCAAGCCTAGCAGAGTCGGTGGTTGAAGAAGTGCACCGATTAATGGAACTATACAAAGGTGAAACTCTAAGCATAACAGTGACCGGACATAGCCTAGGTGCGGCCTTGGCCTTATTGGTAGCAGATGAACTCAGTACATGTGCCCCCACGGTACCACCGGTGGCGGTTTTCTCCTTCGGTGGGCCTCGTGTTGGCAACCGAGGCTTTGCCAACCGTCTTAACGCAAATAATGTCAAGGTGTTACGTATAGTGAACTCTCAAGACGTGATCACTAAGGTTCCGGGAATGTTTGTGAGCGAAGGGCTTGACAAGAAACTCCGGGAATCAGGTGCCACAGATGTGCTTAATGTGCTTGACAACAACATGCCATGGGCATACTCGCACGTTGGAACCGAATTGAGAGTCGATACAAAGATGTCACCTTATCTAAAGCCAAATGCAGATGTAGCATGTTGCCATGACTTGGAGGCTTACCTACACTTGGTGGATGGGTTTTTGGCATCCAATTGTCCATTTAGGGCAAATGCCAAGAGAAGTCTAGTGAGGTTACTAAATGAACAAAAGTCTAACGTTAAGAAATTGTATACAAGTAAAGCAAAAGGCTTAAGCTTGAACCTTGAAAGAGATAGTGATCTCCTAACGTCTATATCTACTTGTTTGCCTAGTCCATCGTAAAACTAAAAAAAAAAGTCAAATGTGTATAGCATTACTCCGATACATGTAAAGATATTGTTGTCGTAATTGAAATCCGTAACACCCAAATCACAAGGAAAAATTTTATGTCCTGTGCATGAGGTGGAATTTTGAAGCACATTTATTAGTGTTTCTGCATGGTTGTCTTTTAGCTGGATATCTGCTTTATTCTTCGTTTTGCGGTCCCATTTTTTGCCTCTTTCATTATCTCAAGTGTCGAAGAGGTTTGTGTGTCAACTTGACAAAACTGAAGGAGTTGGTGTGATTTTTACTCTACAATCTTTTTTTTTTTTTTATCAATGTGAGATGGTTGATGCTGTCACCGCCATTGTAGAGTACATTGAAATCTGACATGGGCCTATACAAAATGACAAGGGTCAGGTTTCACAGAATCTAAAACTAAAACATGATCGTGAATCTCTGTAAACATTTTTCTTTTTAAATTTTTTGTAATATTATATTATCCATCATATATTGAAAAAGAATGTATTACTATAAAATTAACCCGACTTGAATTTATAATAAGTAATTTCCGACTAAAAATATTGTGATTATGCAAAAAATTATTTCTGTAAATATGTGCCTGAGGAACAGTTACGCAATAAAGAGCCTTGCATAAGGGCTCTACTGGAGGAGTTGTAGATCTAGAGAATGGAGAGGAAAAACTCTGAACTATGCTTGACCTAGTACCCAGCGCTACCTACCACGGTCCATAATAAACCTTGGAAAAAGATAAGGTCGAAAGATTACGTGTATTTGAAACTTAAACAAGATGCGAGAGATCTCATCTTACAAAATGNCTTGGAAAAAGATAAGGTCGAAAGATTACGTGTATTTGAAACTTAAACAAGATGCGAAGGATCTCATCTTATAAAATGATNCGCTACCTACCACGGTCCATAATAAACCTTGGAAAAAGATAAGGTCGAAAGATTACGTGTATTTGAAACTTAAACAAGATGCGAGAGATCTCATCTTACAAAATGAGAGTAACGCTAAACAATTTAAATTAAATTTTAAAAATTATAAATTAAATACGTATTATCTTTTTCAGTGTGATAAGACTCCTATCAATGAACATTTGAATTATAATATTTGAATTTCATTTAAATTAGGTAATATTTTCCAATATTAAAACGATAACTCCCTATAAGAGTCTTATTCTCCCAACTAACAGGCAGGTGAGTTAAGACCCCTCTCGCAAAAAGAATCTTATCCTCCCAACCAACTGATCGAGGGCTAGAATCCACTCGTAGGAGGAGTCTTATTCTCTCAATCAACGGACGAGAGAGACTAGAGTCTACTCTTGGGGGCAGGTTAATCTCTTACACGGATTATTATGGAGAAGGTGACTTTCGGCCTCGGCGGAGTGACCAAAGTTCATTGGTCAATAAGCCCAAAGATTACACTACACTACTTCTACGCGGTGGTTGGTAGTTAGCCAATGATATGTAACGAAAACTTGGATACTGAGCCTGAGCCTGAGCCTTTGNCACTACTTCTACGCGGTGGTTGGTAGTTAGCCAATGATATGTAACGAAAACTTGGATCGCACACCACACCTGCCGTACTGAGCCCGAGCCTGAGCCTTACCCTTTTAAGTATTGAAATTGACTTCTGACTTTGATTTCATCCGTGCTTGCCAAATTCTTACCGTCAGGCTGTCGGTACAGTGAATAAAAATTTAAATTTTTTCGCTTAATGCTTGACTTCGAATCTCCGTATAGCTATTACAATTCATCGAAACTAAACTTACTTTTTGAATAACTCCCTAACAAATATGTTGAATGACTTATATGTATACCCNGTGAATAAAAATTTAAATTTTTTCGCTTAATGCTTGACTTCGAATCTCCGTATAGCTATTACAATTCATCGAAACTAAACTTACTTTTTGAATAACTCCCTGACAAATATGTTGAGTGACTTATATGTATACCTNATCGAAACTAAACTTACTTTTTGAATAACTCCCTAACAAATATGTTGAATGACTTATATGTATACCCATTTTACATACTAAAAAAAAATTCTGATTCTTCAGAGATCATTATTTTGAGAATATAGATTGCCTCTCTATAGAAGAGCTGCAAGTTGGCTAGTGAGGATAAAACTGTTATTGTACACTTTTCGCCCCCACAATCATGGAAACCTCGTTCAGATAACCACCCAACGAACCTTAAGATGGTCTAGAAACTCTCCTCCATGATTCATTCTCGTGTCAAATCAATGGACATAAATTCTCCCTACAATTCTCTTCTTTGTAGAATGCTTTTTCACCGCCCACGAAAAAGAGCATACCCAATCCTTGAAATGATGAAACAGAGCGTCCCCAACTATAAGTTCCCTCTCTTCAATTGCTGGTACAAATTGTGTCCACTTGGTGGCAGTACCACAAAATTCTTTCTTATAAAGTTACCTTTCTATTGCTAATTTCTAGTTGGTAAAAATCTGAATTTTCAGTCCGAGAGAAACCAGTTCAGTACACTACAAACACAACACCATATGTCACAGTAACTTTTTAGAGACAAGCGTTTCATATCATCTTCAGCATGAAAGAATTTGAGTTGTGGCACAACACTCACCAGATTGATGCAGAGGTATCAAGGGGTCATTCAAGCCTAAAGTACCAACCAAACCCATAACCACATTCAGAGCATCCAATACAAATAAAATGACACTGACAACAAGAAGATTTAAAATAAAAACAAAACTGCAAGTTAAATTCAGTGCAAAGCTGACAACTTCATCAAAGATAGGGGGTAAATATGAAGGAAGGGTATCCATGAAAGTCAACAAGAATACCAAGGGATACCCCCTGGAGGACATCTAAATTTACACTCTTAAAATACTGAAGTTTTCAAGATAATTTTAGCCAAATGAGCCATTGAAGATCAATTGAATTGCAAAGAGAACAAAACAGACAGGCTCAAAAGGAAGTAGGTGACCTCTCACTTGGCACCCAATGAAGGGAACTGGCCAACATCTTCAATTGCTGGGGCTTCCACATTGTTCCCGATGTCATTGCTACTGTATCCTCCTCTTCCATGGCCACGGCCCCGGCCACGTCCACCAGGGCGGTAGTAACTTTCCCCTTTAGCTGGCTTTAGAAACTCATTTATGCTGACACACTGCACACAGAACACTCAACAATTTGATCATGAAGGAATATAGTATCGCTTTCAAGCAGTTGCTCAATAATTGAAGCACTTAACAAAATCCACATCAATGTGGAAGCAGTTGCTCAAAGGAATCTGCAGTATTTGATTTTTCCTTTCATGTAGCGGTACTATAATAACAAAGGTTAATTTGCTCATCTCTTTTTCAATAAAATGGAATTTAACAGAAAAAGCTAAAACTACCAGCAGTGAACCATCACTATATTGCTGTTAAAAAGGATATCGAAGAGCTCCATGCAAGATAACATAAAGCAACGAACCATAAAATAGTGATAATTCCAAGCTTTTTTGAGGATTACAATGAAAGAAATGCAAAATAAAAAAATCGCCATGCAAATTAAAACAATGTGCATTGTGCAAGTAGTCATGTTAACTTGACAACGAACATTTCACAAACATTACTCCAACCATCTATATGGAGCAGAAAAAGGTGGAAAAAATAAAAAGCCAAATTCTGTATGAACTAACCATACCTTTTTCGCTTTTTCTTCTTTTTCAGCAGCTTCTTTATGTTTATCCTTTTCAGAACCCTGACAATAGTTCAAATGCAAACACAATGAGTGTACTTGCATTAACCTTCATTTCCAAAAATAGCACAGCATCCAAAAATTCATTGAGTGGCACTGAGTCTCACCAATTTAATGAAGATGATGTCATCATCATTCTTCTTGCTTGAAAGCATTTGCATGGATTCAAGTTCTTTGTCCACGTAAACCTTCCTTTCCTCTGTCTTCAGTGCCAACAAGGCCTTCCTCTTCTCTTCAAGCACTTTCTGGTACTCTTCCAAAGTCATCTCCTATCATAACCACCTTATAAACAATTGGAATATCATGAAAGCACGGAAGAATGCAAATTACACTGAACTTGCATTGAAAACATGCCATGGCTACGAAATATATACGGTTGATTATGCCCTTCTCTATATTAACATAAAACTACATTAGGAACCAATGTTCCAAAACCTTTTGATTTCATGATACCAACACATCAAATTTTGCCAATTATGGATAACCAGGTTCATCTAAGCAACACAAGTATGTACACTACATTAGCAACACAAGTATGTGCACTACATTAGCAACACAAGTATGTACTCCCATCACTACTGAGTGCATGTTGTCAGCATGTAAGGAAACAACGTTTAACAAAACCTTGTGACTGCATGCGTCATGCCAGCAACACATCACATTCTGTCACTTGGGGGTTAAAAGGTTCATTAGATACAGGTTGAATTAATTCTTATGCAATTGCAATTAAGTACATACTTGCATTGCTAAGGAACAAACATAGTCAGAATGCAACTATTCATGCCTTAAGAGAATTCATTTATTTTTAAATTATAATAAAACAAAGACATGCAGCTGACTTCTAGTAAACTTTATCCTTTCCCTTCCATACCTCTTTTCAGCAGCCACAATGAACTTTAGGGAAGGATAAATGTAAATANAGAATTCATTTATTTTTAAATTATAATAAAACAAAGACATGCAGCTGACTTCTAGTACACTTTATCCTTTCCCTTCCATACCTCTTTTCAGCAGCCACAATGAACTTTAGGGAAGGATAAATGTAAATCTTTTGAGGAATAAAGATCTGACATGATCGGAAAAGATATTACCTTATCCTCTGGCTCCTCTTCTGGCTCATTCACAGGATTCTCCTTCTTGGCATCCCCAACATCTTCCTGTATCGTTTGCTTCTCAGCATCCACATTCTTTTCACCTTCATTGACAGGTTCTTCAGCCTCCCTAAAATTTGAAATACAACAAAATATACTTCCAATGAACACATACAATTTTTCACTCATATAAAAAGTAGTAATTAAGTTAAAAAATTATAAGTCCCAATCCAAAGCTGAACGTTGAGTCCAGAATACTCACGGGGTAAGCTCATCAGTGGGGGTACCCCAATTCCCACGACCAGAACCATCTCGTTTAATCTCATTCCTGCAAAGCAACACAAATACTTAAGCCCAAATGCATAACACAAATAACCTGTAATAACTAACTCAACTGTAAGTTTGAACTTAGATATCCACACATTATACTAACCCACGGCCAGTACCACTGCGGCGTTCATATACCCTTCGAGGTCGCTCCCCATCCACAACTTCTCCATTATTGAATCCACCACGACGACCACCACGGAAACCACCACGAGGTCCGCCAGACCCACGTCTTTCGGAGGGCTTCCCATCATCTACATCTTCAGGAGGTCTGTACCCTCCAGAAAAACCATTGTTGCTGCCAAATGTATCATCATTCTCAGCAGAATCTCGATCAAATCCACGTCCACCACGACCGCGTCCGCGTCCTCGCCCACTTCCACGTCCACCACCACGGCCACCTCCACGCTGAACTTCATTCTTGGTCTCCCTCACTACTCAAGAAATACGCAACCAAAGGAGTTATGATGTGGGCGTAACAATCATGATATAAATTGCAAAAACTATATCTGAAAAAAGGTTGCAAAACAGTCGTGCCTTGTGAGCGAGCAACTAACAAGAAGGACAAAATTGAAACACACAAAAACAAAAGGAGGAACATCGAAAGAACCCAGAATTATGCACTTGCCAGCAATGCCAATGAAAAGTAGCAGACCATGTACAATCATATCACTAAGAACCAGAACAATATATCAGAACCCACAGCCTGCATGGATAAAGAAATTCGAAACAATGAGCTACCCAATATTCCTGTAATAAAACTGGACTGTGAACCACACACCTTCCCACAACACCTAATGGACGAGTGCACTATCTTGGGGGGTTGGGGGAGATAGCACCACAAAGAATACAAAAAAAAAAGCTTGATTGAATGCTCAACACTAGGACCGACGTATTAACAAAAAAGCTTTCATTTTAAACTTTGAAAAAGCAAACATTAAGACACTTCACTTTTGGCAGAACAGGAACCATGATTGAGACATTAGAGCTGCAATGGGACATTGATAGGAAGAGTTTGCTGATCACCACAATATCTAGTCAAGTAGATGAAGGCCACGCTACAATCCCAATGGTTATGCAGTGGTGATAATGGACTGAGAACTGTAATGTGCAGTAGTTAATGTGGTACAGGTTTATAAGTTGGTGGTATATAATAGTGGTGGAATGATAAAGAGAACAATAGTATCAACACACCCATGCCATTTGAGAGGTTGGTGATAGTGGGGTGTCGATGAGGGCTGAAGATCTATCGGAGGTGGTTCCAGTAGCAGTTTTTCAGTGTAAGTAGGTAGCAATAATTATCTTGAAGGTACAAGGCAGTGACAGTGAAGATGATAATAACCCTTCACAAAGGATTTAAATGAGAAACTCAGGGTCCAAATATGGCTGTGAAGAGACAAATCGACTCTGAAAGATCTGCCTATCGAAATCTATGGGGGAAAAAACTTTTACCATCACACACCAGCTAAAATACCCAAAAATGATTTTTTTTTTTTTGGTCAGTACCCCAAAAATGATTGACAATCATGAAATGTGATCTTTCTCCCAAGCGTCAGACTTTAAAAGCCTCAAGAAGTTCCAAAAAGAAGTCCTTCTCATCGAAACTTATATATATATATATATATATATATATATATATAGACACACACACACACATAAAACCCTCATCATATATGGAAAACTAATATTCTGAAATCAATATACAAAAGTACAGAATTTAACTCTAAAAGCCACAAAACAAGTTAAAGAAGAGTTTTTCTTTATCAATCTTTGCCGACATATACAGAAAGACAAACATATTTAAAAGAATTCCAGGCAAAAGGACTAGACTACGAAATAAACCACTATCACCAATCCATCAGAAAAAAAAACTCGCAATGACATCTTCATCACCTTAGTACAGAAATACACAAAAAGTAGTGAGATGTAAACATATGTATATACATAAATTAAAAAGGGTAAATGTGAAATCTTTACCAGCCTGAGATGGAGGGAGAGGCTTGGAGGGCAGCTTGGCAGGCTGCTTAGCCGGCTGTTGAGCAGGAGCTGGAGTCTTCTTGGGAGCCGTAGCCAGCTTTTGCTGCTGAGCCGCAATGAGCTGACTAGGGTCATCGTACTCATCATCACCAAGAAGATCAAATGGGTTCGTGCTTGCCATTTCTCACAGTCCAACAAAGCTTTGCGACGATTTCAAGCAACCAAGAAACCCTAGTGCTTGTTCAAATCCATGTATAGATCTGATAGTTTGCGAACAAACTTCGAAACGTTGTAGAAAGAGTGCGTCTGTCTCGCAGTGTGTGTGTGAGAGAGAGTGAGAGAGAGAGAGTGGGGGCCCTGAAAACCCTAGCCAAAGCAGCAGAGGTTAGAGAAATTGCGTAAACCTAATCTTAAAAACCCTAGTGGGTGATCATAGGGTGAGGAAAGCCTCATTGTATAACTGTTCATTGGATTGGACCTTTGGCATTTACAATCTGTAATGATGGGTTCGGGGCAAAAGGATGTGGGTTACCCAAATCCAAGTTTATAAACTTGGATACTTTTACAATCTGCATATTCATGCTTGTAGGATTCAAACAACGTATATTTTTCATTGATGTCCGTCTTTAATGTTCCTCTTGTCAATTTTTTTTATTAAATTTTCTCAAATTTAGAGAAATATTCATTACTGTTAAATATTACCAGAATCAACTTATGAGACATTAATAAATATTTTAATTTAAGACACGTTCACAAAATTTTTAAGCTTATTTCACCGTAACTCGATTGACAAACCAATGCTAAAAAGGGGTTAATGAACGAGGAAGAGAGAATTACATTTTCAAGAAAATTATTATTACAGATCCCGTAGAAACATATAAAAACAAGAAAACAAAGCTCGGAAGGGTCGCATAGAAGTAAAATGAGACAAAGCTAGAATATATTTACTCTGTAAATCATGGAAATAATATCCACAGCCGTTGAAAGCCAAAACAACAGCGTGTACTGAGCAAATTTGCCACTTTTTCCTTAAGCATAAATGCTTCGTTTCTCTAATAATGCTGAACCACTTTTCAATGGTTCTCAATAACATTTTGCAAATTTCCGGGGCAATTATTAATTTATCATATAATTCTGCCATCCACGAAAGCATAGAATATAAACGAAGAAAAATATATATATTTGTTTTGCAGAAAGAGGATTGTTTACTGAAATATCAAAGGTCAGCCCTTGCAACAAATTCCACCAAACCCACCTGCCGGATTGGAATAGGATCATGCTGGGGACGTCTATATGATGGAGATTCATGCCATAAAACAGAAATAATGAGAAACGGAGTAAAGGAAATCACAAATACTGCTTTTTAACAATATTCCTACTTTGTACAAATGTTTTGTTAAAATCAAATACATCAAAAGAATGGAGTTTTTTAACGGAGTTCTGAAGCAACTGATAAGAAAAAGCAAGTCATGGCCGACATTCTTTCTTTCATAACCAAGCAGTACATAGAAAATCGACTAGTTTTAATGAGATGGAGAACACATGCAGGCACATCAGTCAACCGAACATTTCTCTCTTCAGGAAGAGCAGCAACCGGACTTTTGATTGACAGGCTGTCCTCGAATCTGCACTGTTGGGGGTCTGGCATTGTTCATGGCTGGTTGGGTTGCCATTCTGCGAGAAAGAGGCATGTATCCGTGAATAAAAGAACTAGCAAGCTCATATAGCAAGTTCCATGATCTACTCTTTGTGATGGCCTTAAGCCAACACACAAAAGAACAAAAACACAAACCTGTTCTTGATCTCAGAAGTCATGGCCATGAAAGCCTGTTCTACATTTGTGGCATCTTTAGCACTTGTTTCCAAAAAAGGTATCCCAATTTCATCAGCAAATGCCTGCAAAAGAAAAACAGAAGTTCAGTTATTCAATCCCAATATTTCACACCAGTAACATCAATCTTCTCTTGTCATTCACTTCTCTAAGAAAGAAGTAATTGAGATCCAATGTCTACAAAACATCAAATTACCTTCGCTGTCTCATAAGACACAACCTTCTGTGCTGTGAGGTCAGACTTGTTTCCGACTAGTAGCTTATTTACGTTCTCACTTGCATAGCGGTCAATTTCATTTAACCATTGCTTGACATTGTTAAAGCTTTCTTGATCTGTCACATCGTAGACCACCTGCCAGGAAAGGCAGAAGAATAAGACTATACCCTTGCGTGCAAACTACGAAAGGATAACTGATATAGAAAGGAGAAATGAACTGCTTACAATAATGCCATGTGCCCCACGATAGTAGCTGCTAGTAATCGTCCTAAAACGTTCTTGTCCAGCAGTGTCCCACTGCATATCCATATAAAGAATCAAAGGTGATAAAGTTGGTTACAGGAATACAACAGCTGCATTGAGGTTATACTCTATTAGAAATAATCAAGCAATACCAGAGTCAAAAATGAATTCTTAGGCAGTAAAAGAACAAAACTTAGCCAGGAGAAGAATTTTTTAACTAAATTTGTCAATTTTTTTCTTCAATGTGAAATTTTCCTCACAGAAACTTCTGCCAACATGTATGACAAAAAAATCTTAAAATTTGGGATTTTGTAACAAGTCAGGAGAGAAGCAACACTCACACTAGAACTATCAGAAACACCTCAATNATCAACTTATGAGACATTAATAAATATTTTAATTTAAGACACGTTCACAAAATTTTTAAGCTTATTTCACCGTAACTCGATTGACAAACCAATGCTAAAAAGGGGTTAATGAACGAGGAAGAGAGAATTACATTTTCAAGAAAATTATTATTACAGATCCCGTAGAAACATATAAAAACAAGAAAACAAAGCTCGGAAGGGTCGCATAGAAGTAAAATGAGACAAAGCTAGAATATATTTACTCTGTAAATCATGGAAATAATATCCACAGCCGTTGAAAGCCAAAACAACAGCGTGTACTGAGCAAATTTGCCACTTTTTCCTTAAGCATAAATGCNATAGAAGTAAAATGAGACAAAGCTAGAATATATTTACTCTGTAAATCATGGAAATAAATATCCACAGCCGTTGAAAGCCAAAACAACAGTGTGTACTGAGCAAATTTGCCACTTTTTCCTTAAGCATAAATGCTTCGTTTCTCTAATAATGCTGAACCACTTTTCAATGGTTCTCAATAACATTTTGCAAATTTCCGGGGCAATTATTAATTTATCATATAATTCTGCCATCCACGAAAGCATAGAATATAAACGAAGAAAAATATATATATTTGTTTTGCAGAAAGAGGATTGTTTACTGAAACATCAAAGGTCAGCCCTTGCAACAAATTCCAACAAACCCACCTGCCGGATTGGAATAGGATCATGCTGGGGACGTCTATATGATGGAGATTCATGCCATAAAACAGAAATAATGAGAAACGGAGTAAAGGAAATCACAAATACTGCTTTTTAACAATATTCCTACTTTGTACAAATGTTTTGTTAAAATCAAATACATCAAAAGAATGGAGTTTTTTAACGGAGTTCTGAAGCAACTGATAAGAAAAAGCAAGTCATGGCCGACATTCTTTCTTTCATAACCAAGCAGTACATAGAAAATCGACTAGTTTTAATGAGATGGAGAACACATGCAGGCACATCAGTCAACCGAACATTTCTCTCTTCAGGAAGAGCAGCAACCGGACTTTTGATTGACAGGCTGTCCTCGAATCTGCACTGTTGGGGGTCTGGCATTGTTCATGGCTGGTTGGGTTGCCATTCTGCGAGAAAGAGGCATGTATCGGTGAATAAAAGAACTAGCAAGCTCATATAGCAAGTTCCATGATCTACTCTTTGTGATGGCCTTAAGCCAACACACAAAAGAACAAAAACACAAACCTGTTCTTGATCTCAGAAGTCATGGCCATGAAAGCCTGTTCTACATTTGTGGCATCTTTAGCACTTGTTTCCAAAAAAGGTATCCCAATTTCATCAGCAAATGCCTGCAAAAGAAAAACAGAAGTTCAGTTATTCAATCCCAATATTTCACACCAGTAACATCAATCTTCTCTTGTCATTCACTTCTCTAAGAAAGAAGTAATTGAGATCCAATGTCTACAAAACATCAAATTACCTTCGCTGTCTCATAAGACACAACCTTCTGTGCTGTGAGGTCAGACTTGTTTCCGACTAGTAGCTTATTTACGTTCTCACTTGCATAGCGGTCAATTTCATTTAACCATTGCTTGACATTGTTAAAGCTTTCTTGATCTGTCACATCGTAGACCACCTGCCAGGAAAGGCAGAAGAATAAGACTATACCCTTGCGTGCAAACTACGAAAGGATAACTGATATAGAAAGGAGAAATGAACTGCTTACAATAATGCCATGTGCCCCACGATAGTAGCTGCTAGTAATCGTCCTAAAACGTTCTTGTCCAGCAGTGTCCCACTGCATATCCATATAAAGAATCAAAGGTGATAAAGTTGGTTACAGGAATACAACAGCTGCGTTGAGGTTATACTCTATTAGAAATAATCAAGCAATACCAGAGTCAAAAATGAATTCTTAGGCAGTAAAAGAACAAAACTTAGCCAGGAGAAGAATTTTTTAACTAAATTTGTCAATTTTTTTCTTCAATGTGAAATTTTCCTCACAGAAACTTCTGCCAACACGTATGACAAAAAAATCTTAAAATTTGGGATTTTGTAACAAGTCAGGAGAGAAGCAACACTCACAATAGAACTATCAGAAACACCTCAAGAAACAAAATCAAATAATAAGACGATCCAAAAACTTACAATTTGGAGTTTAATAGTTTTCCCATCCTGTTCCACGGTGCGGATTTTCTAAGTCAAACAACATAAGGATATTTAGTCCAGAATATTTTTGTGAAGGAATCAGTAAGCCAAGCCAAGGCCATCAAACTATAACTTACAAAGTCGACCCCAATGGTGCTAATGTAACTTTCAAGATATGAATCATCCTGAACAGAAATAACATCACAAAGGTTAAAAAAAATAAACAATAGATCCACTAATTGCATTTGGAAGGAGAAACAAAATAAAACCAGGCACTCTGACATCTACATCAAACATAAAATAAGGTGGAAACAATAAAACACAATCACTTACAGCAAACCTCAGGAGGAGACATGATTTTCCCACTCCTGAATCTCCAATAAGCAAAAGCTTAAACAGGTAGTCACTGCAAACAGAAACACAGAACAAAATGACAGCATTGAGACACGAGTTGGATTCTGAATAAATCATTTTCTCAACAGACACTATTTCCACCTTTTACTTCATAGGAATGGAAATGATATTGGAAAGAAACCATTTTCTCAGTAGACAAATAGTTCAGAATTTTACAGAAGAAAAACCAATCAACCAGCGCAAAGGAGAGGCACTCAACATGTCAAATCTGGCATGTGATATAGCAATCACAATTAAAATGAAATTTGTGCAGCTAGAGCCATAAAGAATTACTACAATAACCAGTAGAGGCACAGATGCATTTAGCACGGGATTTCAAAGTCATGCATGCATTAACGAGCAACAACATTCATTTTTCAAAATTCATTTTGAAGCATATCCTAAGACATATAATCAAAAACAGGTTCCGATGACGCCCAAGTCCCAACTATAGGCATGTATCAGCCTGCCCATGCCACCACCCTGCACTGGCAAGTGGCGAGTCGGCTTCTTGCATGCCCAAATAGATACTAAGAGAACATGTACATTACTTCAACTTAAGTATAAAGAGGCATTGTTCGAATGAGAAACATTATTCCCCCAAGCCATTCTATAAAGGCAACAAGAGTCTGATTCCATGTGATCCACTTTTAATCAGATGTACTGATGTAGCATATATTATAATGTCATATTTCATAGGGGTGCACACAAGTCCATATCCTCTTTGGTTGTGATGACAAACACTCCCTTTTTTGGTTTTAGTAAAACACACATGTAGTATAATATTTTAAAATTTGTATAAACACACTGATGGTCCATTGGATAGATAGCAAAAGTGAATCATCAGCATAAGAATAATCACTAATAAACTAGTTCCATACTTCGATGCAGGAAAAGGTTTGAAGAAACTGTTTTCTGCAAGAAAATGAGACCCACACTTTCATGTGACAACCAACTGCTTAGTTGGCAAAGGAAAACACTTAAATTCTTGACTCCTTTTCCCGTCATTAAAACAGCATTAGAGTTAATCTGACATACTTTTTATCTGTGAAGTGTAACATGGCTGAAGATATTATGTAATGTAAAATATTGACTACGTGCAAAAGGTCAAATGACTTCCTACTTGGGATACAGAAGCATCAAAAAAAAAAGCTTCAAAACTAAATTCCTTCCATGTCCTTAATCCGCTTGACAACCAAACAACAAAACAACCGATAAAGTGCTACAACATTTAACTTACTTTAACTACTGCCACCACCTAATGCAAACAATAGCACAAAACGATCATGCCTGCGCCCTCGTACAAACCACTCCTCATATTGTGGCAAATAATATATGAGTGTCAATTACAGACTCTTATGTTATTTATCTTGGAAATAACTTAGCTTTGTTATTACTCCAATGATATGACNCTTTAGCACTTGTTTCCAAAAAAGGTATCCCAATTTCATCAGCAAATGCCTGCAAAAGAAAAACAGAAGTTCAGTTATTCAATCCCAATATTTCACACCAGTAACATCAATCTTCTCTTGTCATTCACTTCTCTAAGAAAGAAGTAATTGAGATCCAATGTCTACAAAACATCAAATTACCTTCGCTGTCTCATAAGACACAACCTTCTGTGCTGTGAGGTCAGACTTGTTTCCGACTAGTAGCTTATTTACGTTCTCACTTGCATAGCGGTCAATTTCATTTAACCATTGCTTGACATTGTTAAAGCTTTCTTGATCTGTCACATCGTAGACCACCTGCCAGGAAAGGCAGAAGAATAAGACTATACCCTTGCGTGCAAACTACGAAAGGATAACTGATATAGAAAGGAGAAATGAACTGCTTACAATAATGCCATGTGCCCCACGATAGTAGCTGCTAGTAATCGTCCTAAAACGTTCTTGTCCAGCAGTGTCCCACTGCATATCCATATAAAGAATCAAAGGTGATAAAGTTGGTTACAGGAATACAACAGCTGCATTGAGGTTATACTCTATTAGAAATAATCAAGCAATACCAGAGTCAAAAATGAATTCTTAGGCAGTAAAAGAACAAAACTTAGCCAGGAGAAGAATTTTTTAACTAAATTTGTCAATTTTTTTCTTCAATGTGAAATTTTCCTCACAGAAACTTCTGCCAACACGTATGACAAAAAAATCTTAAAATTTGGGATTTTGTAACAAGTCAGGAGAGAAGCAACACTCACAATAGAACTATCAGAAACACCTCAAGAAACAAAATCAAATAATAAGACGATCCAAAAACTTACAATTTGGAGTTTAATAGTTTTCCCATCCTGTTCCACGGTGCGGATTTTCTAAGTCAAACAACATAAGGATATTTAGTCCAGAATATTTTTGTGAAGGAATCAGTAAGCCAAGCCAAGGCCATCAAACTATAACTTACAAAGTCGACCCCAATGGTGCTAATGTAACTTTCAAGATATGAATCATCCTGAACAGAAATAACATCACAAAGGTTAAAAAAAATAAACAATAGATCCACTAATTGCATTTGGAAGGAGAAACAAAATAAAACCAGGCACTCTGACATCTACATCAAACATAAAATAAGGTGGAAACAATAAAACACAATCACTTACAGCAAACCTCAGGAGGAGACATGATTTTCCCACTCCTGAATCTCCAATAAGCAAAAGCTTAAACAGGTAGTCACTGCAAACAGAAACACAGAACAAAATGACAGCATTGAGACACGAGTTGGATTCTGAATAAATCATTTTCTCAACAGACACTATTTCCACCTTTTACTTCATAGGAATGGAAATGATATTGGAAAGAAACCATTTTCTCAGTAGACAAATAGTTCAGAATTTTACAGAAGAAAAACCAATCAACCAGCGCAAAGGAGAGGCACTCAACATGTCAAATCTGGCATGTGATATAGCAATCACAATTAAAATGAAATTTGTGCAGCTAGAGCCATAAAGAATTACTACAATAACCAGTAGAGGCACAGATGCATTTAGCACAGGATTTCAAAGTCATGCATGCATTAACGAGCAACAACATTCATTTTTCAAAATTCATTTTGAAGCATATCCTAAGACATATAATCAAAAACAGGTTCCGATGACGCCCAAGTCCCAACTATAGGCATGTATCAGCCTGCCCATGCCACCACCCTGCACTGGCAAGTGGCGAGTCGGCTTCTTGCATGCCCAAATAGATACTAAGAGAACATGTACATTACTTCAACTTAAGTATAAAAAGGCATTGTTCGAATGAGAAACATTATTCCCCCAAGCCATTCTATAAAGGCAACAAGAGTCTGATTCCATGTGATCCACTTTTAATCAGATGTACTGATGTAGCATATATTATAATGTCATATTTCATAGGGGTGCACACAAGTCCATATCCTCTTTGGTTGTGATGACAAACACTCCCTTTTTTGGTTTTAGTAAAACACACATGTAGTATAATATTTTAAAATTTGTATAAACACACTGATGGTCCATTGGATAGATAGCAAAAGTGAATCATCAGCATAAGAATAATCACTAATAAACTAGTTCCATACTTCGATGCAGGAAAAGGTTTGAAGAAACTGTTTTCTGCAAGAAAATGAGACCCACACTTTCATGTGACAACCAACTGCTTAGTTGGCAAAGGAAAACACTTAAATTCTTGACTCCTTTTCCCGTCATTAAAACAGCATTAGAGTTAATCTGACATACTTTTTATCTGTGAAGTGTAACATGGCTGAAGATATTATGTAATGTAAAATATTGACTACGTGCAAAAGGTCAAATGACTTCCTACTTGGGATACAGAAGCATCAAAAAAAAAAGCTTCAAAACTAAATTCCTTCCATGTCCTTAATCCGCTTGACAACCAAACAACAAAACAACCGATAAAGTGCTACAACATTTAACTTACTTTAACTACTGCCACCACCTAATGCAAACAATAGCACAAAACGATCATGCCTGCGCCCTCGTACAAACCACTCCTCATATTGTGGCAAATAATATATGAGTGTCAATTACAGACTCTTGTGTTATTTATCTTGGAAATAACTTAGCTTTGTTATTACTCCAATGATATGATGAAACTCATGTCAATACGAAATCTTATATTTTCAAATTATTCAGCTTGGAACCCACCAACCTATCTCATTTTCTTGCATAATTTTGCATCTAACGCTAAATTCAATTATGCAAAATTAAAAATTGGGTATTAAACCAACAAGTTTGTACCAAATTTAAACCAATTCAACCAGCAAAATGCCATGAGCCAAAAGATCTTATTTTCCAAATATACTTTAATTCATGGAAAACTTTTCCCAAAAAAAAGCCCAACCACGATTGACCCGAAACGGTCAACGGATCCATTATCCAAATCCTCTCACGTAATCCCACAAGCAACAAGATAAAAATAAAAGTTAGCATAATAAGTATCTAATCATAGCTTTTCCATGACAAACCATCACAGATCTAAATGATTTATATGATCTAACCAACAGAATCGAAACAAATTACAGGAATATATATATATATATATTGAATTCTCTATTCAAAATCTGAGTCCATGTATCGATAATAAGAACTTACTATTCTGGATTCATGACTGTATGGCGTTTGAGATCGATTGAACTATAGAGATACGGCGAGGAAAAAACAGATTTATCTTCGTTCCCGCGAAAAATCTGAATGTAAATTAAGATCGTCGCCGGTGAATAGAGCGGAGAGAGAGAGAGAGAGAGAGACGAAGGAGAGATTTCGAATTGAAGAGGAGAGAACTCGTGGTCTTAAAGAAGCCTAAAATGTCGGAACTATTGGAAGGTGGAGGAAGGCGTGGCCAATTAATAAGTGTCCGCCACGAGGCCTGCAACGTGGTTACAATTACGAATATAGGCCTTACGCTTCCAAATCCTCTATAATATAATTTCCTATCAATGTTTAAATTTTTAAATTTTTTTTTTAAAATTTTGACAACTTCTTAGATGAAGTGATAAGAAATTTTTCCCTCGTAAATTTCTTAATTCTATCGGAGATGGCCTTCCCGAAAGGAAATTAGCCTAAATGTGCGTAAGTTAATCCGAACACCTCTGACCATTAAATTAAAAAAATAAAAANTGCAAAAGGTCAAATGACTTCCTACTTGGGATACAGAAGCATCAAAAAAAAAAGCTTCAAAACTAAATTCCTTCCATGTCCTTAATCCGCTTGACAACCAAACAACAAAACAACCGATAAAGTGCTACAACATTTAACTTACTTTAACTACTGCCACCACCTAATGCAACCAATAGCACAAAACGATCATGCCTGCGCCCTCGTACAAACCACTCAACCACTCCTCATATTGTGGCAAATAATATATGAGTGTCAATTACAGACTCTTGTGTTATTTATCTTGGAAATAACTTAGCTTTGTTATTACTCCAATGATATGATNAAAACAGGTTCCGATGACGCCCAAGTCCCAACTATAGGCATGTATCAGCCTGCCCATGCCACCACCCTGCACTGGCAAGTGGCGAGTCGGCTTCTTGCATGNAAAACAGGTTCCGATGACGCCCAAGTCCCAACTATAGGCATGTATCAGCCTGCCCATTCCACCACCCTGCACTGGCAAGTGGCGAGTCGGCTTCTTGCATANACGAGATAAATACCAATTAAAAGATTCAATTACCCTTATCTCATCCTTTTTTAAACTCAGGTATATAGGTCCAGATAAGAAATTATAAAAATGGTACGTCGTCTCCCTTAATTCTCTTTGAGGAGGTTTTTACTAGGAGACAACTTTGTTTGATTATATCATAATTGACTACTAAAACTTACAGTGACTTTGAGGGAAAGACTTAAAAGTCAAGTCAATGCCAGAATATTAATCGTACAAGTAATCACTTCTGATAAACATGTTGATAAAATAAGACAATGATGATTATTTCTTAAATCTAAGAGAGAATNTGCCCAAATAGATACTAAGAGAACATGTACATTACTTCAACTTAAGTATAAAAAGGCATTGTTCGAATGAGAAACATTATTCCCCCAAGCCATTCTATAAAGGCAACAAGAGTCTGATTCCATGTGATCCACTTTTAATCAGATGTACTGATGTAGCATATATTATAATGTCATATTTCATAGGGGTGCACACAAGTCCATATCCTCTTTGGTTGTGATGACAAACACTCCCTTTTTTGGTTTTAGTAAAACACACATGTAGTATAATATTTTAAAATTTGTATAAACACACTGATGGTCCATTGGATAGATAGCAAAAGTGAATCATCAGCATAAGAATAATCACTAATAAACTAGTTCCATACTTCGATGCAGGAAAAGGTTTGAAGAAACTGTTTTCTGCAAGAAAATGAGACCCACACTTTCATGTGACAACCAACTGCTTAGTTGGCAAAGGAAAACACTTAAATTCTTGACTCCTTTTCCCGTCATTAAAACAGCATTAGAGTTAATCTGACATACTTTTTATCTGTGAAGTGTAACATGGCTGAAGATATTATGTAATGTAAAATATTGACTACGTGCAAAAGGTCAAATGACTTCCTACTTGGGATACAGAAGCATCAAAAAAAAAAGCTTCAAAACTAAATTCCTTCCATGTCCTTAATCCGCTTGACAACCAAACAACAAAACAACCGATAAAGTGCTACAACATTTAACTTACTTTAACTACTGCCACCACCTAATGCAAACAATAGCACAAAACGATCATGCCTGCGCCCTCGTACAAACCACTCCTCATATTGTGGCAAATAATATATGAGTGTCAATTACAGACTCTTATGTTATTTATCTTGGAAATAACTTAGCTTTGTTATTACTCCAATGATATGACGAAACTCATGTCAATACGAAATCTTATATTTTCAAATTATTCAGCTTGGAACCCACCAACCTATCTCATTTTCTTGCATAATTTTGCATCTAACGCTAAATTCAATTATGCAAAATTAAAAATTGGGTATTAAACCAACAAGTTTGTACCAAATTTAAACCAATTCAACCAGCAAAATGCCATGAGCCAAAAGATCTTATTTTCCAAATATACTTTAATTCATGGAAAACTTTTCCCAAAAAAAAGCCCAACCACGATTGACCCGAAACGGTCAACGGATCCATTATCCAAATCCTCTCACGTAATCCCACAAGCAACAAGATAAAAATAAAAGTTAGCATAATAAGTATCTAATCATAGCTTTTCCATGACAAACCATCACAGATCTAAATGATTTATATGATCTAACCAACAGAATCGAAACAAATTACAGGAAAAATATATATATATATATATATATATTGAATTCTCTATTCAAAATCTGAGTCCATGTATCGATAATAAGAACTTACTATTCTGGATTCATGACTGTATGGCGTTTGAGATCGATTGAACTATAGAGATACGGCGAGGAAAAAACAGATTTATCTTCGTTCCCGCGAAAAATCTGAATGTAAATTAAGATCGTCGCCGGTGAATAGAGCGGAGAGAGAGAGAGAGAGAGAGACGAAGGAGAGATTTCGAATTGAAGAGGAGAGAACTCGTGGTCTTAAAGAAGCCTAAAATGTCGGAACTATTGGAAGGTGGAGGAAGGCGTGGCCAATTAATAAGTGTCCGCCACGAGGCCTGCAACGTGGTTACAATTACGAATATAGGCCTTACGCTTCCAAATCCTCTATAATATAATTTCCTTTCAATTTTTAATTTTTAAATTTTTTTTTTTTAAATTCTGACAACTTCTTAGATGAAGTGATAAGAAATTTTTCCCTCGTAAATTTCTTAATTCTACCGGAGATGGCCTTCCCGAAAAGAAATTAGCTTAAATGTGCGTAAGTTAATCCGAACACCTCTGACCATTAAATTAAAAAAATAAAAGCTAATTATATAGAAGTGACTCATTCATTAATAATATATAATCTGTTAATATATATATATATATATATTAGAGAAAATTTGAATCAAAAAGTTATATTTTACGATCCTTTAGTTTCTAAAATACTTATTGTGAGAATTTATTCTCGAAGGTTTTTTATTTGTGAGTAAATAATGGAACCATGGTTTTGCCTTTTAAATTGGTGACGATAAAATACCCACTTGCATATTAGGTAAGATATGTAAAGGATATTTTATGAATATTAAAAGAATCCAACGGCCGATTAATGTGAGTACGATTTTACTTAATATATTCTCCCCCTCCTTTTCTTTTTTATCTTACGGTATTGTAGAATTATATTGGCATACTACAATTCATTCCTCACCACACACAACACGTCCGCCCACCACCATTATGACTAACATCCCAATAAGTCTACACACTAATGAAAAAAAGCAAAAATTTTGAACAAATTATTGAAGGATAATGAAAATTAACTACGAGATAAATACCAATTAAAAGATTCAATTACCCTTATCTCATCCTTTTTTAAACTCAGGTATGTAGGTCCAGATAAGAAATTATAAAAATGGTATGTCGTCTCCCTTAATTCTCTTTGAGGAGGTTTTTATTAGGAGACAACTTTGTTTGATTATATCATAATTGACTACTAAAAATTACAGTGACTTTGAGGGAAAGACTTGAAAGTCAAGTCAATGCCAGAATATTAATCGTACAAGTAATCACTTCTGATAAACATGTTGATAAAATAAGACAATGATGATTATTTCTTAAATCTAAGAGAGAATATTATGAATGCAAAAAATTGCTTGAGGTAGGAGTGTGATGTGATTTACTTGTTATTCTCTAAGTGAACAGAAAAAAAAAAAAGGGAAATGTGTCTAAAAATTGAACGGGAATTGATGACTATCTATAATTCAACGCTGTCAGACACGACTATACTAAATGATAGTGGCACGTGTACAATAGTTTCATTTATATAGATTTTTTTATTATTTTTACTACGGCTGTATCAAAAACAAAAAAATTATTACCATAGACTTATCCCAATTAAAAATCCAACAATCAATATAGTGAATTAAAAAAAAAAAAAAAAAGAACAAAAGAACATGGGCAAGGAGTGGAAATACATTAGGANAAATACCAATTAAAAGATTCAATTACCCTTATCTCATCCTTTTTTAAACTCAGGTATGTAGGTCCAGATAAGAAATTATAAAAATGGTATGTCGTCTCCCTTAATTCTCTTTGAGGAGGTTTTTATTAGGAGACAACTTTGTTTGATTATATCATAATTGACTACTAAAAATTACAGTGACTTTGAGGGAAAGACTTGAAAGTCAAGTCAATGCCAAAATATTAATCGTACAAGTAATCACTTCTGATAAACATGTTGATAAAATAAGACAATGATGATTATTTCTTAAATCTAAGAGAGAACATTATGAATGCAAAAAATTGCTTGAGGTAGGAGTGTGATGTGATTTACTTGTTATTCTCTAAGTGAACAGAAAAAAAAAAAAGGAAAATGTGTCTAAAAATTGAACGGGAATTGATGACTGTCTATAATTCAACGCTGTCAGACACGACTATACTAAAGGATAGTGGCACGTGTACAATAGTTTCATTTATATAGATTTTTTTATTATTTTTACTACGGCTGTATCAAAAACAAAAAAATTAATACCATAGACTTATCCCAA